TCGATATAATAGACCATCGCGCGGTGTGAAACCGATAGAAAATAGAAGACGATCAAGTGATATGAAATTAAATGAAGATAAAAGGCCATACAGTTTTATGGGAACTAGTGATGTCAAAGGCGAACATAGATCATCAAGTGCTGGGAGAACAAAGAAAGATAGCTCATCAAGTGGTAAGAGAATAACTTATGACAGAAGACCATCAACTGAGAAGGTAGCAAGTGAAGACAAAAGACAAGCAAGTCCTATGAGAATAAGCATAGATAGGTCATCAAGTGCTCGGAGAACAAGCGAAGATAGATCATCAAGTGCTAACAACATAAGCGAAAATAGAACATCAAGTGCTAGGAGAATAAGCTATGACAGAAGACCTTCAATTGAGAAGAAAGGAAATGAAGATAAAAGACAAGCCAGCCCTATGAGAATGAGCGTAGATAGATCGTCAAGTGCTAGGAGACCAAGCGATGAAAAAACAACGTCAACTGCTACAAAAATACGTGAAGATGAAGGAACAAGTGCTATGCAAATAAGCGATGAGAGAAGCCCTTTAATAGATATGGAAGCAAACGAAAATAGAAAATTATTAGGTATACCAAAATTTACGGACACTGAAGATGACCCAAAAAGTGTTGAAAAAGGAACAATAATTGAAGCCAAACTAGGAGAATTAGACGATGAAATTACATTGAGAGAAGAAACAAATGATGTGAATGAAGAAACTGATACAGAAACCAATGAATTGGAAAATATAGAAGGTAATGCTGTTAATGAATTAGGAAGTGTGATCGTCAAAAGTGATGAGGTAGATACAGAAACACGAAACTTTAAAGATACTTTAGCAACAGAAACAAATTTACCCGAGCCTCTAGATGATGTACAGCATGATATTGATAACAAAGACGAGATAGAAATGGTTTTGAATAACCAAAAAGAGAAAAACCAATTCAAAGAAACATTATCTAAGGACATTGATGACGCTATGAGGCAGGTTTCCTTAACAGACGAAGACCAGAACAATTTAAAAGCATCTATCAACAATAAAATAGATGAAATTATAGACAACGCGCCGTTTAATGATGAAAATGATAAAGATACCATTAAAGAAGAGATTTTAAAAGATGGGAATAATATCATTAATGACACCTCGCTTACAGAGGCTAAGAAATGCGAATTGAAAATATTGCTTAGAAATGCTTTACTGCCAAACGCGGAGTTAAGTTTTGAAATGTTGATAAATGAAAGTAATATGTTGTTACAACCTGATGCAGCTTCGACGCCACATAGAATCTCATTGAATACTGGTGTATTACAAGGGCCTGAAGACCAAGAATACATGGATAAACTTACAGATTGCATAACCGAATGGTTCGAAACGGTGCCCATTGAAATAGAACCAGAAAACAAGTTCATTTTCACTGACGAACTTGTGATTGATCTTGTAGACAGACAAAAATATCGGAAACTATCACATGACACATTTACAAACAAAGATGAAAAGGATAATTTGAAATATCAAGTTTTTAAACGACTTAGTAAGGTGGTCGATGCTGGCTCTTTACCTCTTGTTATGGAGCGTATTGACAGTCTGTTTAGAAGGGTACAAGAAATACCAGTACCAAATATATTGCCCTCAGTTTCGTATTCAGAAGACAATAGTTGAGTAAATGTGTTGGTTTAAATTTTAAAAATAGTTACAAGATCGGGCTTAAAGTTTATCATTTAACGATAACAAATAATTACGCGCAGTTTTCTATCAACTAAATCATTTAAATGATAATATTGAATCACCTCGTTAATATTTAAAATTCACGGTCTTTTAATCTAGAGAAGCATTAAGTAGAACAAACATACAATACATGAGTAATACTTAATTAAAATATAGACAAAAACGTAGCGACCGTTAATAATTTAACATCTGAGTGCCAATCACGAATAACTATCGCATTCGTAACGTAATAGTATCGAGCGCGTTCGGCGCTCTGATTGGCCGGTTCAAGTGAACGAACCAATCAGAACGCTTAACTCGCTCGATACTGTTACGATACGAATGCGATAGTTATTCGTGCTTGGCACTCAGTTAGTATTATTTTCTTGTACGTATCGAAAGACACAAATATGAGAGCGGCTCATTTTTGCTTGAAATATTGTATTTCATAAAAAGACAGTTAAAATAAATAGTTAAATCGATAAACTGCAGCATTTTCAATAAAATTTTCATGATATAACAAAAGATATTTTAATTCTTTCTAACACGATTGTTTAGTAACTCACATAATAGACAACAAGAAGTTCCTATCCTATATCTTGCTGTCGTGCAGAACCTAACGGGTAACCGGGGCTCCGGCTCGACGTGCAAGAGAAGGAACGGGGTGGTTTTTAGTCAGTAAGAGTCTGACACTCCCTCCCGCCTCACTCAGGCGGGAGCAGTCATTCGATGATTTTCCCCCCTTAAAAAAATCCTATGTCTTGCTAGTCTATATCGGTAGTGTAGTATCTTGTTCATATATATGTTATTGTCGCTGGTTGTTCAATTTAAAGTAAGAGACAAGTAATTATTCTGATAATAATATCAAATAATATCAATCTTTTCGTTAATTTTTTATTTTTTTTTTGTGATTAGGTTTTGTCGTTCTGTTTTTATGTACTTGTTCAAGTGTTTTTACGATAATTTGTTTGGGTTTTGCAAGAGCTTTCGTAAGGTTTCACACTGTTGCACATACTGATTGATGAGTACACGTATAGCTATTTTATTTGTCAACACATTTCTTTACAACATTATTGACTTCAAAATGCTATTCTTTCAAATTCTTAAAAATATTTTTAATTTATCTTAAATTATTAAATGTCTGCGAGTTGAAGTCAAAATTGTTACAAATAGGTTACTTCAAAAGCACTCTACTAGTATTTATTTTCTCCCGTAACAGAAAAAACAGACAAGAAACGAAGAAGGAATTCACCATGTCGACCTAAAAGAAGAATTCCAACAGGATTACCAATAGAAAAAATAAAGGAGCCGTTGAGAGAAGAAATATCGGACATCCTCGTCAAGCATAAAGTCAGACCGAGTAACGCAAATAAACTGATAGAAGATATCTTCTTTCGATTAGAAGATTTGGCTGCAAATGGTGGTGACCCATTCGTTGCAACCACCAGCTGTAGCAAAAGCTTATTATTACGATCCTATGTATCACGCCCACAAGCTCGAAAAATATCAAACAAATTAGTGAATAAAGCTAGAGAAATATCTCTAACACTCAAAGCTAAGGACTCAAAAGAGAAAATTAAATCGAACAGTTTTGACAGCCCTAAACACAAATTCACAAATGTTACACAAGAAATCTATATCGCTCCAGAAACAATCAAAATTAACAAAAATAAAAGACCTGCTTCAACTGATATGAATTTCATTTCGAAAGCAGACGAAATGGATAATATTTCAGTCAAGATGGATGTTATAAATATTCCAAAAGATCAAACACTGTCAGTCCTGAAAAATCAAATTAAAAATGCACTGTATAGAAATATCAAGCAGATTTTAAATGATTCGGCGTTGCCATCATGTTTGGGATATGAACTGAGAGATAATTTGAACAATGTTGTGGAAAAAGATTTGGACAAATCTGTGTTGAAAGAAAAAAAGGATGTTAGTAATCTAAAACAAGTGATATTACAGGACTTGTATGAAGTAATCGACGACGCACCGATCAACACCAATGACAGCGAAATGTTTAAATCTAAATTAACAGAAGCTGTAGACAAAAACGTTAACGAAGTCATACTAACAGATACTAGTGTACAAAAAGAAAGATTATCAAGAAATCTTGATGACGTCATCTCTCAGTTACCAGTATCTGGTACTGAGAAACATGATTTGAAAAACACGTCAACTACAATTTGCAGTGAGTCAAAACAGAAGTTGAAAAAAAACCAAGTACCTCCACGCCAAAAAAGGAGTACCAAATCTAGGAAGAAATTCGCTCCAAAAGCTAACTCCACGTTTAAAAATGGTGATCATTTAGAAATTATAGATGAAACGCAAGCCACAAGTGTTACTGCACAGAAGACAGAAGAAAACATAAAAAAGGACTACACGGAAGAAGTTATCGAAATTGTTAAAGCTTGGCTGGAGAAAATTCCACTAGATATAGAAGTGTCAACCAAAGAGACGTTCATAAACGAACTAACGGATGATATTATGGATAGAAAAAATTACGTAACACATGCTCCTGTGAAGCCTTCATTTGCAGAAGATCTAGAATACTTGAAGGTGCAAGTGCTGAAAAGGACGACTGATTTTTTGACGCCGGACGTACAGAAACTAGTTCTTGGGAGTTGCAAAGCCCTATTGAATAAGATAAATAAAATGCATGCAGGAGCGACCGGCCCACCAGTAGCAGTGCCGCAGGGACAACTACAGTCAGGTTGTAAATACCTTTTCTACAACTTTTTCTGTAGGTCTGGTTCTAAAGTGTAGAATGGAGTTGGTGCAGTCACAAGGTAAGTTAAGTATGAAAATTTTAGTATTACTTCATTTAAATTACAATTTGAAATCAATTAATCGTTACTTAAAATAAAAGCCAAAATCGGTAAAACTCTAAATAGTAATGATAAAAAACAATAAAATAATTAAAATTTTAAATCAAACAACTATCCGAAAAATATCTTAAGTAAAAATCGCGTAAAATACGTAGTAAGAGTAGGTCGCGTAAAAATTGTTTCTAATTAAAACGCGTAAAATTCAGCGTTAGGTCGCGCAAAAAAGCACTTTAACTTTTATAAGGGGGTTAAAATCAATTATTTGTTGATTGATGAATGTGTCAGAAACGAATTATATTATTGAAAAGTTCAAGTTTAGATACAAAATGAAGAAAATTTTAACCCATTCTCCCCAAAAAACCTTATTTAAAAGCAATTTTTTTTTCTCTTGAACTTACTTAGATGTATATTCATTTCTGACCACTTTCCGAACAAAGAATCAGCAAACCCCCTTTATTTTTAAGCAATGGAAGACGGAGGAGCTGGTTTACCATCTACAAAGGCACTAAAAGCCTTCCAGGACTCATTGATTCGAGAAATGGACTCGTTCTTGGGTCCTCTGGATATGCCTAATGAAACGAAAGACAAACTGAAAAAGACTCTACTAAAGGAATTAGACAGATTACTTAAAAACAAAACTGATCCAGACATAATCATGCAAAATTTGATAGCTATAATAAAACGCTTAACGAATTTAACCGATAATGAAGCTATTGAACTTGCTCGAAGGCTTATGAATAAGACTAAAGAAAAGGGTTTCCTTCCAAGAGTTTGCTGTACCCCAAAACGCCTGTCGTTTGGTAGGGATGCTGTTTGTGTCCAAAGAAAGGCCTTCAGAGATGCCATCTTGAGAGAGGTGGGTGACGGATTCTTTGGGTGTCAGCTTTCAGAACAGAAAAAGAAATATTTGGAAGATCTGTTGATAGAAGACTACGCTAAAGAATATGGCATCACTCTAACTGAATGTTGTCCTACAGGTAATGATATTTGTTTGAAAATTTCAAATAAGTTATTCGTTGATTTTATTTGTATAGATTTTGTCAGGCCCATATTCTAAAGCAAAGTTGGTAAATAGTGTAGTGGTTTCAAAATTTCGTAACATCAAAATTAAATGCCGGATACTGATTTCGCGCTACCTTTCTCTAAAATTATTTCCGTTTCCTTTAAAAAATAAGCATATCTAAATAGTACAAGTACCTGTATAATATATCTATGGAGTGTTAAAACAAACGAAGCTTTAAATTCTCATACCCCGTAATTCTTAAAAATAGCATAAAATCGTAACTTCGTCTCAAGTACGTACCTTGGACTTAGACTAGTATGCACTTAGGAGCGAAAAGACGAAGACCACCTGCGTTTTTTTTTCATACCTTACAAATAGTTCCTGATACAAGTATTTTATTAATTGGTAACGTATGTCGTATATAAGACAATTTATTTACCTTTAAATGAGAAAGTTATAACAAATGAAAGGAATATTTCTTTAAAGTTTTAGAGGAATTGATAAAATTAAAAAAAAACGCAGGTGAATTCATTTCTTTGCTCTCGAGTGTATCTGACAACCGCTGTAAGTATACCTAAGTCTTTGACGAACGTCTTGTTCAGTTTATTTTTCTACTTTGGTAAGTACTGGATTAATCATTCCATTGCATTAGAGTGAAAGAACAGAGGATATCAGTGATATGTACATATTTGTGTACGAAATAATAAGTTTCGTATCCAAAAAGTGTAATAACGTCTAAGGTAAGGAACTGAAATGATGTGAAAGAGAAGAAAGTTAGAGACGTATAAATGATATTGAGTATTGCTTATATACACAGGGGGTAAAAGGAAGGCTTCAGAAACGGTGACAAAAAAAAAACAATTTTACAATATAATCTTTTGACGTGACAACGTCTTATAAATTGGTTTGCCGGGTGACACTTCAAGAAACTGCGTTACGCTCCGCTCACGTTATGCGCTCACAATGAGAGCGAGTGAGAGGCACGCGTCCCTTCCATCGGGCATGGTTAGCCCGCCTAAGAGCGAGAGAGACAGACATAAAAAGTAAAAGGCACACCACTCAAAGTCGTTGTCACGTAAAACTTTCGCCCGTATACCGACTTTACAGACAACAATTTTTTTTGTTTTCATGTTATGCAACATCAGTCTTGAGCAGCTGATAGCAACTATTATTACAGAAACGTTGAATTTCTTACTTTTACGAAAATAAAACTTGTTTTTTACCATCACTTGTCGGTGTTTTTGGGACCGTTCCGTTTATACCCTGAAGAACTCGAAGTGTCATGACAAATAAATACATTATTAATATAATACTTTAATAAATTACAGATGATATTAGAGATGAGAATGATATAACAATAATAGTTAATGACTGGATTAGTACTATACCAGTCACCATGAGCAGTGATCAAGATTATAAGAGATTCGTACATCAAAAGAACGAATTGATTCCAAAAATCAAGGAAGCTTTACCAGCTAGTGACTATGGTAGAATTAGAGAAGATGCCAAGACCTTTTTGCTAAAGATACCTTTACATCCTGATTACAAAGAAAATGAAGAACAACAAGATAAGAAAGTGGAAGACCTTATCGACAAATTTCTATGTTTGCCACCAAAAGCTAAAGGACACCGCTATGGAATGAGCTTCAGTGGTCTCACCGAATACATAGACTCTTGGATAGACAACTTACACATTTCCGATGACACAAGAGATGAAGAAGCTATTAAGGATATGAAGAAAGGTATGACGTACAGCTTAGTGCACAAATTAGGAGAAATGAATATTGATCCAGAAATATTCAACGACGACTCACTATATGAAGAAGTACTTAAGGATGAGCTACAGAATATGCTGGGCGATGTTACTATAACTGATGCAAATATAAAAGCTCTCAAAGATGATCTGATTGATAAGGTAAAATCTGCACAGCAAAGAGCTCATGATGAGATTATTGGACAGAATTATAAACATAAGCTACGCCACGCAATGACTAATATCCTACCACCCGCATGTGCTATGTCGAGAGAAGAACATGCGGCTATGGAATTATTAAAAGATCAACTAGCTGACGCTTTCATAGACTTAAATTATTCAGGAGACGATGAAAATCTTAGAGCACGATTGAAAAGGAAAATAACGAGTGAAATTCACATGTTTTGTAATGACTATTTAAGTTCACACCCCGCATCACCTCTGAGTAATAAACAGCTAAACCTTGAGCTTTTTAACGCTTTGACTAGTGTACCGCTACCTTCAGGAGATTCTATCCGATATGAAGTAGAACAAGCAAGAATTAGAGAAGTGATAAATGAATGGATTAAAGAATTGCCTCTACAATATCAAAACCCCTCCGAGCTCTTAGCCAGAAACAGACTTATTTACGTACTGTCAAAGAAATTGTTTGATATCGAAACTGCAGTTGAAGATTCGCCAGACGAACCTATGAGAAAGGAAATAATGAAATTCCTACATAAAATGCCATTCAAATCTGAAAATGATAACAACCACTTCGCAAATAATTTAATAGATAAACTAAATTCATCGAAAGAATCGAGAAGATTTGATGATGGCTCCGATGAAATTGATGCATATGGAAATATCTGCGACAGTTCATGTCCTAGAGGTGGCGCTGCTTCAAATTATAGAAGGACAGCCATGACGCAAGATAGAATTTGTTCCAGACGTTCCTCGTACCCGCCATGTACTCTAAGCGCTGAAGACAAGGCTCACTTGGACAGAATAAGACGTAGATCATGCGTAACTCCAAATTGCGTTAAAGCATTATTAAAAAATGACAAATGCAGTGCTGCAGTTGGACCGCAACCAATGGATGCACAAAGCCAAACAGAACTGAGGCCGCAAGGTTTTGACAAGGATAAACAAAGTTCAATTTGCACAGGAACCAATGAAAAGATGACTAGACCATGCCCAGGCATGTCTAGTTCGCCACGAAGATCTCCGTGTGGGTTGAGGAGGCATACAGTATCTGGTACCAGACTACAGCGTGACGCACAGGAAGAAGTTCTGCCACAAGTATGTAATATTATTGCGAACTTGTTGACACAACAGTTGATTCTGCATTATGTTTTCCCAACTTTAATCTTAATAAAAAAACACAACTTCAAGCTGCACTTGACAATCAATAATCTCTTATCAAGTTTGCGTTTATGGCAACAACGATGTAAAATTTTGTTATTATTCTAAATTCCATAACATATCTGTCAATTTCAATGTTATGATCACTGTCTGCTCTTACTGTCATATCATAATTACACCAACATTATCTAAAGCCAATGCCTATATTTTCAGATAACCGTAAAGAAGTACTACTGGGATTCCAATGAAAAGTCTAACTTCCAGGACTCTGGATCGCAACAAGCTCGTGCCCCTTATTCTTCTTCCTTTTCGCCATCTAGACCTGGAACTTGTTATCCTTCAGACTCCCCCTGCCAGCGGCCAGCATCCTACCAACGTCCTAGTACCCCTCCCTATCATCGGAAACAGACTGAGACTGTGCCCTGCCAAGCTGGCACACCGCCCTACAAAAAATCAAGCCAATCGCCGTACCACCGTGACTGTTATAAACACGACTATCAACAACAATCCACCAGTCCTCACAGAGTCCCTTGCAACTACGATCACTCAATTACTCAGGGTCCTGACACAAAACCTACAAAGCCTGTGGGACGATTCTATCATTGGTCTCCGCAGAGATCGTTCCAAGAGAGAATTTCTCAATCTTCACAACGATCGACCCCACGCTCTCGGTCTCCTCAGCAGAGTCCCTGCATGAGCCGATCTCAGTCGCCTTATGGAATGAATCACGAATCCACACCATTAAGCTGTTCCAATAGAGTGAAAAGAAACGGTCTTCAAGAGCAAATCCCTTGTACTAACATCAGACCATCCAGGAAGGAGAGAGTCACCGAGTTAGGATCTTTAGATGACATGCAAAATCCGAGGGCAAAGAAAAATAACAGTAGTTTTGACTGGTCTTATGGTCAGCATCCAGAAGACGATAGCTTTTGGGGTACACCTTGCATGAGGCGCGTAATTTTGGATGAAGGAATAGACGAGCCATTGATGATGGAGAGTGAAGAAAGAGAAGAAAGAGTGACTTGTAAGTGCAAAGAGAGGGTTTACCCCAAGGCCACGAGGACCGGCTGTATGCATTCCTCCCGGGATCAGGACGGTCGTAATGGGAACAGGTGCTCTAAATGCTGCGGTGTGCACTGTCCCTATCCCAGCTTCCTGTATTTCAGAGAGTAAGTGGTGTGTTGTCTTTTTTGTTGTGATGTTATTTTTGCTTAAATAAAAACCATTAAAATAATCACATTTCGTTTTTTTTTTTATTTTACTAGCTATACCCTATATGCTTTGTTACATGTTAGAACGTCAACTTAAGTTCATTGGAAGGACATTATTAGGCTATCTACAGAAAATTAGTCGTACCAACTCAGTAACATTCGAAAATCATCGCATACAGACAAGATAACACACAGGCAAACATTCATTTTTTTATAGAAGACATACCCATTGCCTGTTGCCCTTTTATATTTTAGGCTAATTTTCTGGACAGTATATTCTTCTGTTAATATCATAAAATTATGACACAAGACTTTTGAAATAAAATCTACTTCTATTATTAAAAACAATTTATTCACAAATAACACAAACATATACGGTACATAAAATATAAAACACACACAATTTATCGAGGACATGGATGATACATTTCACTGTGCTGATCAAAACACATACGTCTCGGACGGAATAACCCCAAACATCTACATCTATATTCGCCATTATCATCTTCTCCATCGGCAGTGGCGCCACCCTGGCTTGATGGACCCTGATTGCCTGGAGACCCATAGCGAGCTGTAGGAGTTCCTTGACTAGGCCTCTGGTAATTTGGAACTTGCAACATATTAGGGTTCTGTCTTGGAGGCCCATGTATATGTGGACTTTGACTTTGCTGTTGACTCACATTACCATTTCTTGGTGGCGACATCTGATTGCTCCGGATTATCCCGTGTCTATTAGGCACATTGTTGGCTACATTCTGAGATAAATTAGGATTCTGATGTGACACATATGCTTGGCCTTGGCCTGACGTACCAGGTATCTGTGACAAGTTTGGTCTTTGTGTATTTGGTAGAGTTACATGCTTTGGTGCATATTGGTTAGGACCATAATTATTGTTTGTTCTCATTATACTTCCGCGATGTTCCTGCATGCTATAGGAGCCCCTTGGTGGAGGAAAGCATGTCTCTGGACCAGCACAAGTTGCATAAGGAGGAAGTGAATGTCTTGGATCTGTGTTATACCTGGGAACAGATTGAGGGGCGTGGTTTGTGCTCAAATTACTAGCATACGTATTGCCTTTAGGAGATTCATTTGCGTAACTAGGATTTTGCACATAAATAGGCCCATAACTCTGTCTTCCACTTTGTTCTTGTCTGCTATAATAACTAGCACCAGATGGTGAATGAACTGAATTCATATTTTGTATTTGCTGTACAGGTCTTATGAAATATTCCTCGTCTTGCGGTGGTCCTCCTGTACAAGTGCCAGCTTCCGTTGACGAACAAGAAATGTCTCTATTATTAACTTGCGCATAAGAAGAACTAATAGGCCGACCTCTTTCAAACTCTTCGTAATCTTGTGGTTCTTTCAACCATCTGTTTTTTAATCTATCATTTAGATCGTCCACCATTGCGTTTATATTTAAATCTTGGCCACCTTGTAATTGTGCTCGTTTTTCAAGGAACATACTGATTTCATGCTTCATTTTCATTTCTTTAAGCGATTCGTCATCTTTGAAACGTTTATGTATGTCGTACAACTTTTTTGCTAGTAAATCCATCATTCTTTTCCTTAATACTCCATCAGTATCATTGACTAGAGGTTTCGTTGGCAAGTCTTTGTACCATTTCTCTACTTCATCTCCCAATTGTATTTCTTCTGCTTCTTCTTGCAGAATTTCATCTCCAGGTTTTGGTACTTGTTCTAATACTTTCATAGCAATATGAGTCAGTTGGTCTTTGTCAAAAAATCTAAAGCCAACACTGTGTTCTTTAGCTAAATGGTTAGCTAGGTTATCAACTTTCTTCATCAATCTTTTCTTATAAATATTGGCTTTCACTTCATCTTTTTCTTTATAATTTGTTTCTAGAATGTATGCGTCTGCCATTTCAGCCAAAAATCCCTGCTGTAATAAAAAGCATTGCTCTAATTCTAATTCTTTAGCAAATTTTCGGTTAAACTTATTCCTGACTCGTTGCCTAAAAGAGGGTCTGTCCGAAAAACTATGCAACTGCTCTAACATATCAAGGGAATTTGTAAGTATTCCAACTTTCCAAGCGTGTCTTTGATTTACTAGTTCTGAAGATTGTGGGAGAACATCCAACATTTCATCTATTTTCTCCTCTAGCATCAATTCAAAATATCCATAATCATTTTCAATTTCAGGATTAGCTTTCAAATTGAAAAACGTCTTAATGATTCCGTTGTAAATTGCGGTCTTTGCTAATTCAGCTAGCTTGGCATTCTCGGCAGTTGATGAGTCAATTGGCAAAGCATTACATTTATCTTTGAAAATCTTTTGATATTTTTCGTAAACAGCTTCCTTGGTGCCTTCGTCAGGTGGCCTGGACTGCGAGTAACTTGAAGAATATGAATGAGAATGTGAAGCGTTAGATAAATTTGTAGGACTATTTGTCTGGTATACTCCAGAACGCGGTGAATAGCTTGCCTCGCCAGTCTTTATATAAACCTGTTGTAGATACACTTGTTGCCATGGATTCATTTCTATAGGGCTTGTAGTAGTATTAATACTATTTTTTACCCTTAAGGAAAGCCGAGCCACCGTGGAATCTACATCGGACCGGTATCTGGCGTTAGAAAAAGCAGATTGTGCTTGGATCTTATCTTGAGGTCTTACTAACATTGGTACAGGTATTTTGTTAATTCTATGCATCAGATCATCAGCGTGTGTAATTGTTTTAAGATTATCTTCACCGACTAATTTGTTAATCCATTTAAAGATCTGATACTTTAAATGTTCTAACTCATTTTCTTTTGCACTGGGGTTTAGCTCTAGATATTTATGTCTATCCACAATATCTCCAGCCAAATCTTTGATAGCGTCTTGTCTATAGCTATCGTTGAGCGCTGTAGATAAGCCTAAGTTAGCTAACCATTCGCCTATTTGACTAGTTAGTTGTTTAGTATATATCTTTGAATTCTCATTAATATCACTATCTTGTACATTGGGGAGCCCAAACGCAGTTAAATTGGTATTCTTCAGAGCATATACGGTGACGTTAGTTTCAGTACATGTTTTATTTGGTGGTAAACTTTTGTTCAGACTTTTAATGAGTGTTTCTGCCATTGTTGTCATATGATTCTCAGTATTTTGGTCACTCTCTAACGGAAACCTTCTTAAAAATTTTACTATCTCTTTGTGTAATTCTTCATTATGTTGTTCTGTAGTGTTTGAGTCTAAAATAATTCTATTTATTACAGAAGTCATATCGTCTAAAAAGGAATTGAGTTCTCTCGGACAGTATACAGCTTTCAATGGCAAGGAATTGACCCATTCTTTGATAATATCACCTGTTTCATTTTTAGGCTTGTCATCCGTTATTTCTTCTGTCACAGGATTAGCAGGCATTTCTTTTAAATGTTCTATAAGATTTGAAGCTTCTTGGTTCATAAAATGTATGTCTTCTTTCTTTTCACGATTCATAGGTAGTGACTTCATGAAAATCAATATCTCTTTTTTCATAATGGAACTGTCACAACCTAAAGTTTTCAATAGTTGTATACTTTCAATAAGTTGTGCTTTCTGTTCTTTGAATACGTTCTCGTCAGTCACATGTAGTGGTAGCTTGTTCAGCCAAAGTTCAATGTTGTTATTTAAAATACTATTTTTCTTCGTGCACTCTGTGTTACAATCTTTAATGTTAAATTTATCTAAGAACAATTTCAATTGACAAGCTATGTTCTGCACTATGTCTTCGTTTTGTTTTGGTTCTAGTCTTTTTATACACTCGAGAACATATTCATCAGGATAAGGATTTTTATATCCTCCAGCTTTTATCTTATTTCCTAACTCTTTAATTATCTCTTCTTGATGTTTCCTGACTTCAGTTGTTTTGTTTTTATAAAATGGTCGTCTCTTTAGCCATTCTAGCAACACTTCTTCAATCTGAAATGTTACATTATTCATTACCGGTACTTTAGTTAACGACTCTTCTACATTACAGAATTGTAATTTCTGCACCAACTTCTCAGCGTATTTATCTCTGAACGTTTCCTTGTCTACTTTGGCATGCAACGGTAATTTCTTTAACCAATAAGACAACTCTTGTGATAATTTTCTTTGCATGACTTCTAGGGGTGTATTCTTAATTTTTGTTTTTATTTTACTTATCTTGACGGCTATATCGTGAACTATTTCATTTTTGTTGTCTGTGAAAATTCCTACTTTTTTGGGATCTAAGGGTACTGTGTCTATCCAGTCGTCTACCAAATCTTCATATGACCTGATCAGAACCTTCTCATTTTTAGGATCTTTCACTGTATTTTCTTTTGTGTAAGGTACACTTTTGAGTTTGCTTGTTAACTGTTGTACTTTATCAGTATTTAATTTATTCTTAAAACCTGTTTCAATCCACTTTGTTACTGCTTTGTCAATAACTCCATCTTCTCTATTACTGAGACCATTTTCGATTTCTTCAACGAGATGTTTGATTGATTCAATAGGATCTATATTTTCATTTAATTGAAGTTCTGATGGCATGTCTAGATACCATTTTAAAATTTGTTCCGTTTGTGTGTCAGTATAACTTTTATCATTAAGACCATCGGTATCAGGAGTAATGGTCGATTGTGGGCATGCATTCTCCATAACGGGTTTTGGTATGTTTTTGATTTCATGCATCAATTGGTCAGCATGTTCTAAGATTGTTATGTTTCTTTCACCAAGCAATTTATTTGTCCATTTAAATACTAGGAATTTCAAATATTCTAGTTCTTCAAAATCTGTTGGTTGGTTGTTAGGGTTTAAGAGTAAAAATTTATGTCTGTCTACTATATCATTGGCCAAATCTCTTACTATTACTTCAATAATCTTTTTCTCATTATTTAGAATATTTAATTGTGAAATCCACTTGTTGATTGTGTTAATAAGATGTTGTGTATATTCACTAAAGTGATTTTCTTCGTTAGCATTTTCTGTACCATTTAAATTATGGAAAACAGAGTAAACGTCTGGTCTTCCATGATCAGAATTACCTTTTACTTGAAAGAAACTCTCTCGAAAGAAGAATTCTTTATAATCTTTTAATAGTAAATTAGTGAAATATTTCGCCTTGTATTCTGGTAGCTTCCCTGCTACTTTGAAAAGTGTTGTAATATCCTCCATAACGTATTCATCAATGTCAGTGGCATTCACAAGATCCAACAAAATATCAATTAGTTCTAATTCTAGGTATTCCATCCTCTTAGTGCTTATAGCTACACGGGATTTCTCCAAGAAAAATGTTATTTCATCTTTTACAAATTCTTTTATTTCCTTTATCGTAGGCTGTATGTATGTACTAGGGAATTTAGTTTCTATATTAAATATGTCGTTGACAAGATTTTCTGTGATTTTATTCAAGTAAAATTCGTTGTTATGAGTATTTAGAACTAAAGGCAATTCTTTGATCATATCTGTGATGTTAGATTTTAATACCGCTTTATATGTTGCGTCGGACTGAGGTCTATCCAATACTATGGGTTCTAATCTATCAGCTATGTATTTGAGTACGTCTTCTTTCTTTACATTTCTCCCTAAGAAGTCTTTTCTCTTGATATTTAACGTTTTAGTCCAATTTAGAACTGCCTTCCTGAAGTTTTCAACCTTGAACCTACTGCAATATTTTGATAGTTCCATTCTATACACGTTTATATTGTTAGCGCCCATAGGTGAGGACTTCATTTTCTTCAATTTCCGTATAATATCGTTCGGCAATTGTTTCCTCAATGTCAGTTTATCATCGTCACCATCAGAAAACTGTTCAGGTACCTGCTTCAAGTACTTTTCAATTTTATTCCTGATTTTCTCTTCGCCACCTGGCCTTTTCAACTTGTCTGCTAATTTCTTTAACTTATCTCCCCATAGTTTAACTTTCACTTTGTCGCTGTGGATTTCAAACCATTCTGTCATATCTGGCTCAAAGTCTCCGCTATGATCTCTTCTTTTAATGACTTCCTGCTTTTGTGTAATCTTTGTCAATTCTTCTTGCGACTTGCTCCTAATCTCACAATATTTTGTAGTTCTTATATCAACGTTGCTAAAGGCAGTTTGTATGCACTTAATGTTGAAAATGTCACAGTCATCGTCCGGGTTTTTTGTTTTACAATTAATTGGCTCTGTTATAGTATTTTCTCTTCGGATCTGAAATTAAATACATAATCTACTTGCATTTTTGTCAAAATCTATTAACTTTGCTATCGGGTTGTTGAGTAATACTCACAGTTTCTTTTTTAAAGTATGACATAGAGTTATCTGTAACACAAATATATCAATTAGTATCAAATATTATGCTTACCGGGGTAAGAAACTAAAAACCTAATTCTGAAATAACAATTCACAATATTGGCTGATGTATAATTTATTTATTTCCATTAATAAAATCCAAAGAACTGTATAAAACCTAGTTACACCATAATATTAGGTACCCAATTTATTGATAATAAAACCATGAGTTTATTTTATTAGCTAAATATAGAAATAACAAACGAAATTTAAACTAAGTCAGTCTTCAAAATAAGGTCTAAATGAAAATGATAAGTATACTCAAAATGGAATGAAGAATGAAATAACTAATATATGGATCAATTGCGTCGCGGTGGATACCGCATCGAGGGTGTACAAGGTCGACAGCCGCCTTGGGGATCTTGGTTCTGCTTGCGCGCTCTGCACTTTTTTCCCCGATTAACACACTTACACCTATCCATGCTTGTATCCGTATCATCCAAATCCATCACTCGGTTGAAAGGCACCGCATCGACAGTATGTCGCGTGCCACGCATTTTTTTAAGAGACTTCTTTGGTTGTGTTAGCAGTCTTCGCAGACCACCGCTTCGACACATTTGCTCTATAGAAGTACCTGCGCAGATATGATATGCAGCACCAGTTTGGCATGTCTGATGCTGTGAAGCATCTGGGCATTGCTGCTGAGGACAACCGGGACCGCATGCAGGCCCGTAGCACATTTGACCTTCAGGACCACTTGCACATAGATAAAACGAAGGACCATCCTGCTGTTGCTGAGACATATCTGTGCACATACATTGTTGAGGTTGCACAGGGCTACTGTCACAATCACAAATCATTCCCGGTGGCTTCAGATTTTTCCGATAATCTATCGTTTTCCGTATACCTGTACTGTCTGTTGACTTGTGGAAACTTGGCTGCTCCTCAGACTCTGGCGCACTCCGGCCTGGCTCAGCATCAAATTCCGGTGCATATACTTCTAGAATTTGCTCCGGCACTTGACTCGCGGCTGATACCGGCGCGGGACTGAAACGAGTTTTCTCAATTGAGTTTGAATCAGGAATATACTCATACGCCATATTGGGAGGATACTGTTCTACTTGAACTGGACTCCGTGCTTCTATTTCTATAGCCTGGCTATACGGAACAAAGTCGCTTTGGGGCTTTACTATATCATTGAACGGAATTTGGTTATACCGAATTGGTTGACTAGTTTGATCACCTTCAATAACTCGGACGTAAGGAATAATTTCGCTAGATTGAGGTCGGTTATTGAAACCACCAGTGTGATGTGGACTACCGGAGTCCATTTGATAAGCAGGTTCATAGGTAACAACGTGACTGTTAGGACTTGAATAGCCCTTTGGTTGCATTTGGTCATATGGAATAATATGGGTTGGACTTCCTGGAATAATTATAATAGGTTGTTCGTAAGAAACTTCAGTATCTCCCATTGTTGTTACACGAGGTTCTTGATACGTCAATTGACCTTCAGGTTCCTGAGAACTAACATATTGGTAATTATTGTAAGGATCTTGCACTGGAGCGCCTGGGAAAGTTTGTTCGTGTGATTTAGGTTCTTCATAAATAGGTGGAATTGATTCAGCCTGAAAATCTTGGCCTCCAGTTTTATAACTAGAAAGTCGTATTGAGTCACCTTGGTTATATGGTAGCTGGGATCCTTGATCCAATGAAGCCATTCTACTTACTGGAGCTGAACTAAGCAAAGATGGGGGCTTTTCTTCGTTAAGTTGGGAGACTTGCTCCTCAGGAACCACATTCTGTACTTCAGAGTATGTTTGGTCTGTTGGAGGCAAATTAAGTGGACTTTGAGATATACCTTCACTAGGGAATCTTGAAGCTTTTTCTTCAGGGGGAACTACCTGAGACGAAACTTTAGAATCCCTTGAGCCGATTTGTGTCGATACATCTCGATTGGCCTTGATATGGGGTACCGCTTGATCATTTACATAAGTTTGCTCATTAGGCCCTGCCGTTCCTTTTTCCCGAGAAACAACTCGTTCTTGAGAAGTTCTTTTTAATTCAGGTTGTGCATTTGGAACTTGGCTCTGACGCTCAGGGTATTGTGTTTCCTGAGTGCTGGCAGCCGGTACTTGGGTATATCTTTTTGTTTCGGGTGGTAAGTCATTATAATTAGAAGTGACACTTCGACTTAGAGTTTCTGAGAAAGGCCTTTGCTGTTTACTCGAAATATTCGGACTTAGTTGTTCTGCATATTGACTTTCCTGAGGGCTGATCGACGTTGCTTGGGATATCTTTTTAACTTCAGGTGGCCTATAAGTACTTGGGATACTTTGAGTCTGTGGCTTCGAATATCGACTTTCCTGAGGGCTGACTGATGTTCCATGACTTTTTTGGCTCGGTTCAGTTGGTGTGTGAATATAATTATCGGGTATATTTTGGATACGTGGCTCCATGTAACGTCTCTCCTGAAGATCAACTGGCTTTTCCGAATCCATTTTAACTTCTGATGATGTATACTGATTGTTTGGTACACTTTGCTTAGAAGACTCTGAAAAACGTCTTTCCTGTGGACTGACAGCTGATACTTGGGGAGTTCTTCTCGTATCGGGTATTATATTATTAGGATCATTTGGATTACTTTGGACGTAGTGTCCTGAGGAGTGGCGACCCTGAGAGCTTATTGGTGGTCTAATAGATTCTTTTTCCATTGATGTTGATTGAACAGGACCTTTTGAAACATGAGGCTCTGAGGGACGTCTCTCCTGGGGAGCTACGGATGTTCCTTGAGTATACCTTTTATTCTGAGGAGCTGGAATATCTTGTAATTGTTGTGGTCCTTGGGCTTGAACTTGTGGTGGTGGCTGCTGAGGAACACTCGGACGAGAAAGAGGATCTACATAAGGCCCTGGAGGATGTGTTGGTGGCATCACTCGAACTGGACGTTGATATTGTTCTGGATAATATCTTGCTACTGGCCCTCGGCATCGAATTACCGGTTGGTTAGACTCACAGCTATATGGATTGAGATTTGCGTGACCGTAAGACGGAGGTAACGGGCCGGGTACAGCAGCATCTGGAGGAGGCCCTCCTGTTTGGCCCGCCATTCCGGGTGCATACCCTCCTGGTGAGATAAACGGTGAAGCGCTTGGTTGTGAATACTGCATTGGTCTCATGTAACCTTGAAGTTTGCTAACACAAACTGGGTTTAGGCAGCAAGGACCCATACATACGTCACTTGGATTATATGCATCAAATTGTTCTTGATGTATAGGGGGATGTGACGGCGGTATGACACTTTGAGCACTAGGGTTGTAATATTCTTGGCCAGATGAAAATTGCCCCGGAGGTGAAAGACGAGGAGATCCATAGTCACTACGAGGTTGACCTGGTTGTGCAGCAACTTGGCTTGGAAGATTTCGAGAGTAGGCGTATGATTCTGATGGAGTAGTTTGAGACCAGTCACGAAGATCCGGGGGCACTCTGGTAGCTTGCATAGACTGCCATTGATCGTCCGCAGGTACATTACTGGCCCAACTTCGTGGGTCATCTGCATTGTACCCACCAACGTAATAAGAATTGCCCTGCCCAGGTGTCTCGTGAAAACTGGATGCTCGTGGCACATCCCTGGTAAAATCTTCATAATCTCGCGGGTCCTGGAAAGACACGGATCTAGGTCGTAGAGATTTCATATTTTCTAAGTTCCGAATTCTGTTTACTAATTCATCAATTACAAAATTGATATTAGTGTTCTTTTTTATTGGTATCCTTTCAATATATTTTGGTACGTCTGCCTTCAACTGATCACCGAAAGCATTGTCATAACAGTTAACATATGTTTCTACTTCTTCAATTTTTTTAACTATGGCGTCTCTCATTCTTCTCTTATCTAACGGCCCTGTAGAGTCAGGGTCTTGAGGAAGATCTGCAATCCAATTTTCGACCTCCATTCCTAGTAATATCTCATCTGCCTCGTCTCTTAAAGCAAGAAGATTTGGAATAGGAATTTTGTCCAAACAGTTTATAATTTCATTGGCATATCCATACGTTTTCATGCCCATCAAACCATGTCTTTTCTTCATGTTCTCCAGATAGTCATCTAGACTTTTAAGAAAATTCTTCTTATGGAAGTTGGCTTTAACATTATCATCATCTTTGTATCTCCTGTGAAGTATGTAGTATTCAGCTACATTATGTTTCTCTATTTCTTCATTTTGCTGATCTGTCTCGTCGCCGAGAGGTGGTCTTCTCGGTGAATTATTTTCTATGCAGTCAATGACTTGTTGCTTGTACGTGCCTGATACATTAAGAGATCTAATTAGATCGTTCATTTCTAAAGTTTTTTTAAGAAGCTCCTCTTTGAGGGGAGGCTTTTCTATTTCTAGTTGCTTTGATTTTGGAAGATTTTTCATCAATTTTTCAATTTCGTCATTAAACACTTCTTTGAAGTATAGTGGGTTGCCGAAGATTTTTGGATCTAATTTCATTTTAGTGATTGTTTTCCATACCCCATTGTAAAGATCCATTCTAGCTTTATCTGCTGCCTGTTTTTCAGATTGTGTATTCATTGGCATAGGTACCCTTTGTACCCAGTCTTTAAGGTAAGCGTCATAGTCCGCATATATTTTTTTGATTGATGGTAGTGGAGTTGGCCTTGCTGATCCCGGTGCCATTGGAACAGATGTCTGTGCACCTTGAGGACTAGTCGTTACACCACTGGGTCCTACTCCGGCATCAAGCAGTCTAGTGAAACACTTACCATTATCACCAGCCTGACGTTGTGGTGATTGGTAAGCACCAGGAAATGCTTGTGGAGGCTCATGGTCCAGGCCAAAACTCCGATCTTGACTGTGATGACTGTCTGGGCCAATAGAATACTTGTCTCTGTCACTGCCTTGTGTTTGTGGTGATTGATAAGCGTTACCAAATGTTTGTGGTTGCCGTTGAGATGGTGATGTTTCTGCTTGTGGACCTCGACGATAATAATCTTCGTTGGTGGAGTATGGTTTGTTTTGGCCTGTTACAAAACTCTGATCTTGACTGTGTTGACTGTCTGGGCCACTAGAATACTTGTCTCTGTCTCTGTCTCTGTCACTACCTTGGGTTCGTGGTGATTGGTAAGCGTTAGCAAATGTTTGTGGTTGCCCTTGAGATGGTAATTGTGTTTCTGCTTGTGGACCTCGACGATAATAATCTTCGTTGGTGGAGTATGGTTTGCTTTGACCTGTTGCTGGATTTTTACTTTTAACTACTTCAGGACAAGTTTCCCTGTCACAGCACGGGCCAACAGTGCGAGGGACCTCCTCTGGTTTTGGAGGTCTTAGTATTCTATTTATCTCACTACAAGTGCCAGCCCCAGTTTCTCCTAAACACGGTCTCATAGGGTCACCATAACATTCTGGATTAGGGCATTCTATTATTGTAAAACGAGGGGTCTTTGGTTGGATTAGTATTGGAACAGGCAGACTCCTGATTTTGTCTAATAATTGTCTGGCGTTTCCAATAGTTTCTTGATTATCGTCTCCGACTGCCTTGTTAATCCATTTAAATATTTGATATTTGAGAGCTTCTAATTCATCTTCATCTTTGTTTTTGATCGTGTGATTCAGTTCTAAGTACTTTAATCTGTCTATAATATCTCCTGCTAAGTCATTGACCATCACTTCTCTGATGCCTGAGTCTTGTATTTGTGGTATGTCCAAGTTATCCAACCATTGGTTGATTTGCTGGCACAGCTGGTTTGCATAACGGTCTAAGTTCATACGCAAATCATCACTAGTAATACGTTCAATACTCTCATTATAATTACTTCTATTGGATGGACCAGAGTTGTTATTCATATTGAGAACCATGTAAGTATGGTTGAAATTACAATGATTCAGCACCTCCTGTAAATCTCGGAGTATCATGCTTGCAGCGTATTTGGCTTGTTTCTCTGTTAAGTTTGCCAATTCTTGAAATATTAAATTCATCTCAATCCTGGCATCCTCAATGTGGCCGCATCGGATGCAATCAATTGTATCGATTATTACATCGAGTAATTCATTTTCTAAATTGACTAACATTTGGTCGCATGTTCCTAAACCGTACTCGTTAAAAAAATCAAACAAGTGCTCTCTAATGAATTCTCTAAAATCTGCTTCAGTTAGAACTTTTTTGAATTTATTGTACTGTTTTTTTCGACACCTCCCATGTTGTTGACCCATTATTACATTTTTCATCCTTTTCATCAACACATCAACAAGCTTGTGTAAATAATCAGATCTGTTATAACTGCTATTAACTTCAATGGGTACTTCTTCTATAATATTAACTATTGCCGATTTTAAATCGAAGTCTTGTTTAGTCCTATTTTTGAAGATTACTTTGATTCTTTCTTCTAAAGAATTAAGTAATTCTCTTCTATCTGTGTAATCTTGGTCCACGGTTTTAATGTCTAGGTTGTGTATCCAGTCTTTGAGTACAAAGTCGAGTTGTTTGTACTCAGATATTCTGAAGGGCGTGACTTCAGTTCTTAAAACTTGTTGGGTGTCACCATAGCAATGTTTAAGTTGACCTAGCAATTCTTGGTAATCACCTACATAGTCGCAAGCGGTTGGACAGAATGTTGACGCGTACTTGTGACATTGTTCACGTTTTTTGTAACGCCTATCATCTTTGCTGGATTTCTGATGGCCGTTAGATTCAAATAGTTTTTTTATTAGTTCATCGCGAATAAGTTTTTTACATTTACTAGTTTTAGAGACCTCCTCGATGAGTTCAAGGAGACTCCTTTTTAGTTCTTCTTTAGTTATTTTAATTTGTTCTTGTGATTTAGATTTCCTACTGATTACAGTTTTATGGCGAGTGGATTGAAAGTCTAAAGTGCTAGCTATGGTTTGGGCTGATTTCCTAGGTTTAAGAGTACTGTCGGATGGGAAGAAACTAGTCTGAATAGATTTAATAGACATGCTTGTGTCCAGTTTTCGAACGAGGTAGCATTCACCTTCCACGTTGTCTTCTGTAGCTGACATGGTAGGGGACTCGGGGACGGCTACCTGCAAGAAATATATTAAAGCCCAGATGCCAGAAGACTGGTACATATAATTGGGTACTTGTCAACTAGTCAAATTCAATACTTTTTCCAACTGTTAAATACGACAGTTTTCTATGAATTTTGTACGAGATTGTGTATTATGACGTCACGTTTTTTTAGCGTCAAACAGCATACTTATTTTTTGAAATTTGCTGGAAAAATACTAAAATTGAGTTGGTCATAAAATGAATTAATGAAAATATGATTATTTTTTTAATATTTTATTGTATTGAACCGTCGAAATAATTTATTTTTGATTAAGGAAAGTACCCAATTACATACCAAGTATAGTTTTTACTAGTCTCAACTTTAAAAAAAAAATAACGAATGAAGTTTCTTGCTCGATCTTCTCCATTCGAATCTACATTTGGAATAAGCACCTAGCTCTGACGCACTGGCTGACAGACTATTATTTATTTTGTATTTGTTGGCGTTTCAAAAGTACCAAATTATGGTTTAATTGAAATAAATGCTTTGACTTTGACTTTAAATAAGAAAATCTGCTAAGAGCCTCTTGTTCTATCGGTGATAGGCCTAAATATGTTTATTGTAAAATCCAAATCTGCTGCGGTAATCATGAGAATACAGAAAATATACAAGCACAAACATTGTTATACCTATAAACTGCCTACATAATTTCGTTCTTCGTCATTGAGATTTACTTTTTAGATTTTTTAAAGGGGGAAAAATCAAACACCCCTTTCCTTCTCCTGCACTTCGAGCCGGAACCCCGGTAACCCGTTATAGGTTCTCCGCGACATTTACTTTTTAGCTTCGGTTCCTATCTTCATTATATCACTTTCATCATCAGAAGTTTACAATTTTGTCAATCAAAACCTAACTCTAAAAGATATGAAATATTTAAATCTCTTACGGTTTTTCTCATGAGTCTGTCTCGTTGTACGGTGGCTACTTCTTTGGATATCATTTTTACTGCAGCTGTTAAAACATAAAAATACGTGTAAATTAATGTCCACAATAGCAGCTGTAGCCAAATACCATTAAGCGCTTGTCTACATGTAGAATAGAAAACCAAAGTATATGGAATTGACGTAAATTTTGACACTTGTCAGTGTCATCCCCATACATTTTGATTTCTACTCTCTCTGTAGACAAGCGCTTTTTTTAAGTGGGGAAAATCATTGAATGACTGCTCACTCATTGGGGAAAAGCATGTTGACAGCAATTCCACAAGTTGATTCAACTTTGTTTTGGCTTTAGACCTATAAACGACTACACTATAATAAAACCGCGCCGCTTGCTATACTTTCACGAGGTGTTTTTTTTCCAAAAAGCTCTTAAAACTGTACATATATTATAGAAAATTGTGAGTAGTTTAATTTTGTACGTAACGGTTTTCTCGTTAAATGAAGTAATGTAAAAAAACTGTTTTTGACCGCCATTTTTTCCAAGATGGCGGAGCGAGCGGCGCACGCTCAAAGGTGCAAAATGGAAATCAAAAAGAGCATATGAAAATTTACAAAATTGCTGGTTTTCAAAACTCCCGGAAAACTTTTCAGGTAACCTCCACATCTTTTATCATTTTTCATTTAAAAAATCTTGCCCCACACTAGGATTTTCTCCTGTATCGTGGGTGTATTTACAAACATACAAGTTCACATACACATGATACCCAGACCCGGAACAACAATCTGTGGATCACACAAAGAGTTGTTCCGTGCGAGAATCAAAACCGCTACACGTTGCGTGGCAGCCGGTTGCCCAGCCACCGCACTAACCGTGTCGTCATTATCTCCTTACTTATCGGGCTATGATAAGAATTTAAATATATTAACTAGAATAACTTGAGACATACTAAATTAACTAAAATCACGGGTTACTCACGTGAATATACTGCGACCGCGCACGCTGCTCATGAGGAAGAACCCCTCTGTGGTTTAAAACTCATCAACAGCCTATAAATGCCCACTGCTGAGCAAAGCCTCTTCTCACACAGAGAAGGTTTGAGCATTAATCACCACGCTTGCTCAATGCGGGTTGGCGATTACAAACTTATAATTAGAAATAATAAGCCCAGGTTTCCTCACGATGTTTTCCTTCACCGTTTGTCAGTGGTGTCTGAATAATCTTAGAAAGTACATATAACTCGGAAAAAGTCATACTGGTACTTGCCGTTGGTAGGTTTCGAACCCGCACCCTCATGCATGAGAAGCGGGCGTCTTAAACCTCCGGGCCACCACGACTTTCGGTTTAATCTGTCAAACACCAAGCGGTCACCGGTGACCGCGACCTATTGTTCTTTAATTGTGTCTATAAAACCGGTACTCGACGAGTTAAAACTAGTAGAGCTTTTCTCAGTAACCCGTGATTTTAGTTAACAAACAAACTGCTTACTAACCTTGAATTTCCATATTCACTGAATTCGAACTCTGCAACAATAGAAAGGGTGTCGTTTATATTATAAGATAAATATCATGCGGCTATCTATTTATCTCTCGTTGGCCGAGTGGTCGCAATTGCGACTGCCGAGCAAGGGGTCTCGGGTTCGATTCCCGGGTCGGGCAAAGTATTACTGGGTTTTTAAAAAATTCTCAGTAGGAGCACGGAGTCTGGAACTGTGCCCGGTATATGGCAATAGGCTCACCCCCTATTACATGGGACTCATAACATAAATAGTGAAAAGTGGGTGTTACATTGTACAGTGCTATAATGTGCACCTCTGCCTACCCCTTTGAGGATAAAAGGCGTGATGTTATGTTATGTTATGTTATCTATTTATATACTTATGCACAGCACACAGACAGTAGGTACACAGGAGAATACATATATAAATAATTTGTAGGTACATAGGCACTACATATTCCCGTAGGAATCTCTTCCTGTAGTCCTTCGACAGGAAAAACAGTAAAAAACTAAGACACTGTGTGTGTGTAACATGGCATGCACAAAAAAAACAAATATTACTAAAATTTAAGCCTGTAAGTACTTAAAACTACATACACAAAATAAAACCGATAAATACCGTATTAAATAAATATTTCTCATTAAAATACCTACGATATTATACGTCGACGATAGATACACAACAAGTAATCCACATATAAGAATATCACAGTATCACTACATAGTATAAAACAAAGTCGCTATCCGCCGTCTGTCTGTCCCTATGTATGTTTAGATCTTTAAAACTACGCAACGGATTTTGATGCTTTTTTTTTTTAATGGCAGATTGATTCTTACGGAAGGTTTATATGTATAATACATGCATATTGCGAAGCCGGGGCGGGTCGATAGATGATATATAGGTAGATGATGCAGATTAAAAAAATGTATTTTGTACTTACATTTTGATATTCTTGTGGGATAGGCTGGTAGTCTTGGGTTTCTTTGATAGTTGGGCAAGCGGGATTGCAGTACGGCTGTCAAATTATATGATAATTGAAGAGTGAAATGATGATATTTGCTTTATAAAACCAAGTGCAAAACCAATTGCTAGAAGAGGTGGATTATGATTCAATTCACTACATTATTCATTCTACTGCTGAACCTAGGGCTCGTGCGTAAAATTACGATGCGAATTGCTGCGATGCGACAAGGCGTCTCTCAGGGCGACCATTCCTTCGACGACCGTCAATCGTACTAAACGTATTTTAAATTGAAAACTAGATCGTGACATGGATCGTAAAAAGCAGTGTGTACTTCTGTTATTGCTTATGAGATACAGGAAAAATAAAAAAGAAGATTTTGGGAAGATAAGATTTTGATGCGCGATGCGAATCAATTTGCAAGTTTTTGCGATGCGTAGACGGAGCTCGCACATTTTTGCGATGCGACGTCGCATCGCAGTTTTGTGTACGAGCCTATAGGCCTCCCCCAGTAGCTTCCGAATCGGCCGCGTAGAAGCAACCTACATCCAGATGACGATTCAGCAATTGAGCTGACAGTCACAAAAGTCGAAAACCCTAAAAACTGTTTGTAAGCTTCTGAACTTAAACTGTCTTCATTGATAGAGTAATCATAAGTTCAAATACCAAGCTAAGGGCTCCAATCACAACGATTTGCAAATCCATCGCCACTATGACCCTTTTAAATCAGAACTAATAAACAAAACTGGTACCATGATTGTCTACCTATCTCTTAGCAACAGACTGGCCCTGACTTCATCATCATCATCATAACCCATAGGCCTCCCCCAAAGACTTGCAGATCAGCTCTAACGTACAGTACCAGAATAACTCCTCACATTATCCCTTCCCTTCCTCGTCATATCTCTGACAGATCTCACTTCGAAATTCCTCATATTTCTTATATCGTAAGAGTCTTCTCTCTTTCTCTCTCTTGTCGGCTCCTCCATTCTCCTACGTGGTGTGATCTCTTGGTCATAGAGACGGGGGCTCTTTGTGTATGTGCCTTTGGATTCTAGAGTATGGTAGGAGCATGGGTAGGAGTCTATGCGGGTAGGGGAGGCTTGATTACGGGTTGATGTTTTTGAGTCTGCAGGGAAAAAGAGAAGTTCTAACCTGATCTTTTTGTATTACAACAATGATCGTCCAGTCCCAGTTATGGCTTGAAACAAGTCGAGTATCATCATTGAACAGTTTTTTTATGTAATAGGAGGGAAACGAGTAGACGCACCGCCCATGGGCCGGCTCGACCGGGGTGATACCACGGCCGAGCAGAAAACCGACGTGAAGCAACACTTGCGTTGTGTTTCATCGTGTGAGTGAGTTTATCGGAGGCCCAATTACCCTCCCCTTCCCCAATCTCCCCAATTCCTGAATTCCCAACGATGTTCAAACTCCTAATCCCCAAAAGGCCGGTAACGCACTTGTAACGCCTCTGCTGTTCCAGGTGTCCATGGGCGACGCCAATTGCTTACCATCAGGTGATCCGTTTGCTCGTTTACCGGCTTATGCCATAAAAAAAGCCGTACAACCCGATTAATTTAACAAGATAACTGTTATATTTTTGTGTTTTGCAGTTTTTTGATGTTTACTCGTCTACCTGAGAATTTCGTATGAGATCAGGGACACGAAAATTTTCATTGGAAACTACAAAAACAAATACATACAATCAGATCATTATATTGTAGTGTAAATGATTTTAAATACGACCCGTATACTTACAGCCCTTTCCTTGATAATTGATAAGTCTCTCCATGACTTCCGAAGACCTCTCTGGTGAGAGGCAGGGGTACTTCCTCAAGGAGTTGGCGAAGGCATCCACCTCCATCGAAGGTCGAGCAGAGCAGACAGACCCTGGAGGGATTGATAGCTAACTCTAGTAGGTCAAGACTTATGAAAACGTATCTTTGACTATTGGTTATATTAATATCATGTTATATAAGGGAATCATATTTTTGTTGACTGCCTCATTGGCCGAGAGGTCGTAAGTGCGACTGCCAGGCAAGGGGTCTCGGGTTCGATTCCTGAGTCGGGCAAGTATTACTCGGTTTTTAAAAAAAACTCAGTAGTAGCACGGTGTTTTGAAATGTGCCCGTATATGGCAATAAGCTCACCCCCTATTACATGGGACTAGTAACATAAATTAGCGAACAGTGGGTGTTACATTGTACAGTGGCATTAAGGGTCGTAAGGTGCACCTAGGCCTTCCCATTCGGGACTAAAAAAGCGTGAAGGTATGAGTTATTCTGAGAAATTTTTGATGCTCCGAATACGGCGGAGCTATACATAAGCCACACAAGCCATGAGGTGATGAAAGAGTATAACAAGTACATTTAACACCTTCTGATGATCTCAACGTGCTTTTGACGAAAATTATATCAAAAATGTTTATAGCAGGATTAGCAGGCCCATAGTCCACTGGTGGATTGTCAGGAGATGTTAACCGACATGTCAGGATGTATTAACATCACTACTTTAGTAAGTTATGGCTCCCTCACTATATTGTACTTTATAAGTATCAACAGATGTCACGGAGCGCGCTGTCTATCTGTCATACTTTGGTGTGCATACACGTCGTGTGATCTGTACGTAATGTATATAAAATAAATACAAGTATAATTAAACCAGTCTTTTTTTAAGGGGGGTAAATCATCGAATGACTTCTCCTGCCTGGGTGAGGCGGGGGGGAGTGTCAGACTTACTGACTAAAAACCAACACGTCCTACTCTTGCACTTTGAACCGGAGCCCCGGTAACCCGTTAAGTTCTCTGCGGCAACTAAACCAGTCTAAGTCATTAATCAACCAACACAACATTAGATACTTCTGAACATATAGTCAGAATTTTAATTAGATTCCAGATTTGACAATAGCTACTGTCATTTTGTGAAATAATGATACCACATATAATAGTGTAGTGATGCACACAAAAATCGATAAACAATCAGTGTGTGTGTTTTATAATAAATGTTACAGAAAGTGACAGGATAGCGATAGCGATGACGGCGACAATTTATAAAATAACTTATTACCATAATACATCTATCTGTTTTATTTGTCATGTTCCTTCATGATTACATTTTTTTATTTATTTCACACACAATTATAAAAGAAACGTCTCAGATCGTTAATTAATCGTCAAAACTAAATTATCGGTTCAGAAATATTTAATTTCCTGATAAACTTAGTTCACGAGAGTAAAATTATAATTATTATAAACGAGAAGAATCGATCCAGAAATATTTCATTTCCATATCGAATAATTTCGCAACGTCACTATTTAGTACTTGTCATAACGTTGCCACACTGAAATTGTCAAATCTGGAATCGAATTAAAATTCCGAGTATAGTTGGAAACACGCTTCATCCAGCGGTTGTGGATGTCATCTTTATCAGCTGGAAGACATCCACTTCTGAACAAAGACCTGCCTCTCAGTCCTCCACGTCGAATGACAACTCGCCGCTAACTGTTGCTGCATTTAACTCGTCGAGTACCGGTTTTATAGACACAATTAAAGAACAATAGGTCGCGGTCACCGGTGACCGCTTGGTGTTTGACAGTTTAAAGAAAAATAAGACTAGAGAGATTACCTCTATCTGGCCATGATAGTCCTCCTCTGAAGCTCGCGGATGATGAGGTCGGTTTCCCGTGAGGGTTGACCACACCACTGCCATTACCACCCACTTGGAAGTTACCGTGACCTGGTGAAGATGGCGACATCAATTACATTTTAAGTCCGTTTAAATTTTCAGTTAAAAGACTAACGCCTGTACTCACCAAATACCCCTAAACCTTCTTTTAACTAAGAGTCACTTATATTTCTGTGAGGTAACCTCACAGACACACAGACCTCAGAAATATTCTTTATTATATCTATGGGTAACCTAAACTAACTCCTTACCTGTACATTTAGATATCACTTACGGGTTGGTTAAAATCAAATTCAAGTTAAATGTCACTTATCTCGTTTAGAGGTTCCTTTACTTTAAAATTTAGGAGAGGTTGGTGAATACGGGCTTTGATGTACGCTGTCTGAAGCTTACCTGGACAGAGGTCCGGTCTCTGCGGTGGGAATTCAGTTAACTGAACCGGAGGTGATGTAGGACGGACGTTGCAATGCATAGTCTAGACGTAAACAAGAAAATTAATTAATACTAGCTTTCCTCCCTAGAACTCCATCCCTCTTTTCTCTTTTCTGGAATCACACTATCTATCGTTGAATATCCTACAACTATCCGTCCGGTAGTTTATGGCATTCATACAGAAAGAGAGACGGAAAACGCTTTTATAATATGTGAGCTTTTGAGGTTTTGAGGAATACCCATAATATTTTTATAATAACTATCGTAAGACGTATTAAATTAACTAATAATCGCGGATTACTCGCCAGAAAATATTAAAAAAAGCTCTACTAGTTTCGAGCCAGTAGGATGAGCGACATCGCCGCACCGCGCACGCTGCTCATGAGGAAGAGCGCCACTGTGGCTCGAAAGTAGAAGAGCTTTCCACATTATTTTCTCGTTTTTAAATATTATAAATGCGAAGGTTTGTTCTCAATCACTTCAAAACGGACGGATCGGAAAGAAATTTGTAACAGGAAAGAATATGGTCTAGAATAACATAGGCTACTTTTTATCCTTCTGTGGGATAAACACAGGCGAAGCCGCTAGCAGAAGCTAATAAACATTTTCAGGTTCGAGAATGGAACTTCAAACCCACGTTCAATACGTTTAGCAGCCTAAACTTCTGGACCTGATGCTCATGTAATTGTTACTTAGAAGTAATGTAATTGTTAGTTCCAAAATGTAATTGTTAATCCAACGATACCTTGTACATAGAAGCATATCTCCCATCAACAGCCTGGGCGTCTCTATCGCAGTGGAGCGCCGCCGACTCAGTACTACTTTCCGACATTATACGCGGGATCGGCTGCGTAGACGCATTGGCGTTCGTTGGGTGGCGCTGCGTAGACGCTGGCGCCGTTACTAAGGAGATTTTGTTCAGATTGGAGATGTGTGGGTTTTTTTTTAAGGGGGAAATCATCGAATGACTTCTCCCGCCCGGGTGAGGCGGGCGTGAGTGTCAGACTCTTACTGCCTAAAAACCTCCCCGTCCTTACTTCGCACTTCGAGCCGGAGCCCCGGTAACCCGTTAAGTCCTCCGCGGCTCCGTATCGACATCAGCCCTATTGGACCCCATCCGTGGTCTGATGGCTGAGTTTCGGTATAGTAAATTTACTTTAGGCGCGTATTATATAGAAATAACACAAGGTAAGGTTTTATAGTTTTTGTATAATTAACTATTTTGGTAATGTTGACAATTTTTACCAAAACATCTCCTATTTCCGTTGAACCTCAGCTAACAATATTTATTGAAACAACTCAAAATAATACATCGGGCAGTGATGTAACCTTTACCAGTTCAGCATATACCAACCAAGAACTTGCACATGCTGAACTTCTGACTCAAGAACTGATTACAACAGCGCGATATAGAAAGCAGAACCCCATACTCTCTAATCTCATTGCAAGCAGAGAATTGGACATATAATAACATACAAAATCTAGTAGACTATGATTGAAAACCACTGAAAAAAGATAGGAGACAAAAGAAGTGGTACTCCAATTCTCTTCATGACCACTTCACCTCGAAGTCAAAGCCTTTATTTCAATTAAACCATACTTTGGTACTTTTGAAAAGTTAACAAATACAAAACAAATAATAGTCTGTCAGTCAGTCCGTCAGTGAAACTAGGTGAAGCTAGGTGCTTATTCCAAAAAGTAGATTCGAATGGAGAAGAACGAGCAAGAAACTCCATTCGTTACTCTTTTTAAAAGACCCCTCTTGAAAGACCCGCATAAGTGTTTAACACATAATATTCTCACTAGAATTAGGCAGTAGCGTGTACTGACGGTTACCGTCGAGCAGTGTGACGGCCAGCCCGGCGTCCCGTAGCCCGCGCACCACCGCCACCATCCCCTCGCCCGCCATTCACTGTGACCTTACTGACTGTCTGATGGAATTTGCTGAAATAAAAAAAAAACAGCTTTTTTCGTGGGACATGTTGGCAGACAAACAGTCTGAGCTCTTAGTACGAGTTTTTTTTCTTTAAAAGTAATCGTAACGAGTTCGCGTTCGGCGCTGCGATTGGCCGGCTCTAATGAACCAACCAATCAGAGCACAGAGTGCCTAGCACGAATAACTATCGCATTCGTAACGTAATAGTATCGAGCGCGTTCGACGCTCTGATTGGCCGGCTCAAGTGAACCAACCAATCAGAACGCTTAACTCGATAGTTATTCGTGCTTGGCCCTCTGAACGCTGTCTCGTTTCGATTACTTTCGTACTAAGGCCTCTGATCACCAGACCACCCGTATCACCAGAGTAGGGCAGAAGGAATAGGTTTGGAATTTTGGATCAGTGTGCCGCGTGGTTTTCTGTATGGCTATGCTATCTTTATTCCGGTCGAATCCATCAGTCCGACCTTTCATACCAATGCATGCTTTTCATCTTGGTTGATAAATCTTACATCGTTTTCAAATATTTGAGCTATTTTAAGCTGATACCAGAATCCTAGAGTCTCCAGTGGACGCCTTATGGCTGATATGGAGGGATACCATGGACTCACAGAAAACCGACGCACGTGAAACAACACGTGTGAGTGAGGTTACCGGAGGCCCAATTACCCCCCTTCCCAATCCCCGAATCCCGAACAATCCTCAAATGCCTAATTCCCAAAAAGCCAGTAACACATTTATAACACCTCTAATGTTTCGGGTGTCCATGGGCGGTGACGATTGCTTATCATCAGGTGATCCGCCAATTAGTTTAGGTACCAGCTTTTTCCATAAAAAATACGATGAAGAATAACAAAAGATTAAACAACACTTGGCTCCAGTATCCTTACCATCGAATATCAGAGGCCCAGCAGTGGTTGGATAAGAAGAGATGAAGAACCGGGTTCACAAACGTGCTACTGAAGAGGTTTATCTTCAGCAGTGGACGGAAACAGGCTGATGATCAATAGGAACCTTAGTATACTTACGGACATCTTCAGGAGCCTTAGACAGGGGTAACACAGATCAGGCCGGTATGAAGCCTGCCAGTCGTCACCGTGGGGTATTGGCCTTAAGAAAACAACTCAATCAATGATGTATAGTAACGCGTGTGCGTATAGTAAGTGTGGGAGAGCCATGCTTCGGCACGAATGGGCCGGCTCGACCGAAGTGATACCACGACCTCACAGAAGACCGACGTGAAACAATGTTGTGTTGTATTTCGTCGTGTGAGTGAGGTTACCGGATGCCCAATTACCCTCCCCCCCTTTCCCCAATCCCTGAATCCCCAACAATCCTCAAATTCCTAATTCCAAAAGGCCGATAACGCACTTGTAACACCTCTGGTGTTCCAGGTGTCCATAGGCGACGTCGATTGCTTACCATCAGGTGATCCGACTGCTCGTTTACCGGCTTATCTCATAAAAAAAACGCATACTTAAAAATAAAATCACCCTTTAGTTTATTATATTTTCGGCCTCCTCACGTAACTGTTTGATGAGGAACTGGACTAGTTTTAAGCCATGCTAGAGGCTCATGTTTATGAGCAGCAGCGCGACATTTGCCATGTCGCGGGTCGCGGAATGCCATGCTTGAAACTAGTCGAGTTCCTCGTCAAGCAGTTACGTGAGTAAGCCGAAAACTTAATAATTAATTTAGTCTGTATCACGAAAGTTGTTATACAAACACTCGTAGTTTAATGGCTAACTTCCCCCTCACGTATGTACTACCCCTGTGAGAAATAAGGACTATGGAGTCTACATGATTTGTACATAAAAGTATGTAACCATGTACGTAGGTACTTACATTTCTTGCAAGAATTTCAGTGTATCGTTATTTCTGCTGCTAATTATTAAGTCCTAAAATATAATGAAATAAAATTATTACTATAATAATTTAGAATTTTGTATTCTTTGTCCGGTACTGACAGAATTTTATGTCACTGACAGATTTGTAGAAGAAATATTTTGAATTCTTTGATGAAAACTTTTTGTTAACAAATAATAAAGAGGAACAAGTCTAAAACATTCCTCTTTTTAGCAAAGTATTGACATTGGTTTCGGCACCGGATAAGAAGCCCTAAATAACATTTTTTTTATATTTGATGTACCGGCGTTTGCCCACTATCTCGCCTAGTGGTAAACGATGATGCGGTCTACGATAGAGCACGTCGGTCCCATAAACGACCTTGACCTCAGGCCTTGAAGATACCCAGGTACTTTTTAGGAAACACAGACCCAGGCAAAGAATTTCACTCCTTAGCAGTACTAAGATTAAAATTATCATTAATTTGAAATATTAGCCAGCAGAAACAATGGTGTTTAACCTACGTCCAAGTTAAGCTATCGGCCCCGTACATCTATAGGAAAGTTGTAATAGCCAAAGACCATATCAGTGCCAAAGACCAAAGAACCAAAGAGTATAATAAGTATAGGGGACCAAAGAACCATAGATATATAACAAAGCCATAAAAGAAAATATACAATCAAAATGACCAAACGTCAAACAATAACAACAAGCAAGCAATATGCCAAACACATTTTTGTAAAGAACTGAATCAAAAAATTATACAAATGTACTTTTTCAACTGAAGCAAAATATGAAAGAAGTGAAGAAACATGTAACGTTGCTGAGATGGGTATGTAGAAGGGGCAGGTAACTACTATGGCGGTCACAGATGACGTCATCGCTCTCGTCCATGACATGTCCAGCGCTGGGCTCGCTGTCACAATCATTGGCCCACCAGTTAGGAGACCTAAAGGTAAAATATTGCTTAATTTGTCCTCTGAAGGTGGAAAAAAGTAAGTTGATAGGCTATTAGCCAGTTTCTAGATGGTGTGTGACAAAGAAGACTGATGGCCCAATAAAAGTCACAGGGAGCTTTATAAGGTCTCAAGCATTTTGTTCTCAATCCTAACCAGTCAATTTGGAAGTTATTGGTAGAGGCCTATGATCAGCAGTAGACGTGTTTTAGCTAATACAATAATGATGATAAACCTTCACAATACTTCCAGGTTGCAACCAAGCTCAGAACCAAAATTTATCAAAATCAGAGCAGAAGATCGAAAAATGTAATGGAAATAATTCCGCAGAGCGATCGAAATCGACAGAGAATTGTAACGCCCGTTCTCCATCAAGATACGTGTATGACGAAAAGCCAGATATATCCAGTGACAATGAGAGTAAGAAGAAGAAATACAGCTCTATGTGTGGAGAACTATGGTCGAATAGAGATAGCGAAGTGTTACATAGGAAGCTGTCCAAGAAGCTTGATGTCCGGTACATAAATCAGATCAAGAGTTTTAAAGAGAAGATCAAATCTTCTTACGTGCTTGTAAGTTTCTTCTCCAATAATTAAAACGCGCAGAAGTACATAGACAATACAACACACCTTGTCACCTGGAAGCTGCTTATTTAAATACTTTTCCAATTCTTTTAGTCCTGCAATCAGCAACAATGTCCCATAATCCAGGAGAGGCTCACCCAACATCAACTCATACACCACCTTAATGCAAAGAAGATAGAGTTTGTTACACAGAGGAAGAACCGTGACAAGGCCGTAAGTTTAAATAAGGTATTTCAATCAAATGTGTGAGATTAAAAAATATAAGCTTGAATAAGGGTTTATCTTCTAACCAAACTGTTTTGCCTCTTTTTGTCAGATCAACGTATCTCCAACACTGTCAAGAATGAGATTACCAAAGTTTACGTTACCGTTCTCACACGACGGTAGACTAGTTCAAACAGAAATTACTATGAGAGACTTCAGCCCTGGCCGATTTCCAAGAAAACATACGAACAGAGTGGTCAATTTTGACAGAGAAATATCTCTGAAGAGATCGGAAACGAGAGAAGTCCTATCTAAGAAAAACTTTTATAAGGAACATCTGCAAAATGAAATACTCAACTGGCTGCACCATGTACCAATGTTTTACTCTCTTAACTTTACTACTAAAGATATAAAACATAATGTAGTCCACACTTTAGCGGAAAAGATTAATTCACTCGCAAGTATAGCTCATGAACCATCCTACGAAATGAAAGTCAAGATAGAAATAGAGAACTGTTTGAATAAACTGCCCATGTGGCTGCATGGAACAAAACGAGACCAAATGCTATTCAAAGATGGCTTAAGAGAAAAGCTTTGGAATAAAATTCGTGGACTCAATGAGAACTTCCTTGGACTGAGGTACGAGAAGTCAGTTGGCTTTCAGAATATTGTACTAAACGATGACCCGATGGCAATTTTCGAGAAGGAAATAACTGATTGGTCGCAGAAGCTTCAACTAGACCCTTCAAAGAAAGTCACTAGACGTAATGTAGTGTCCTTGATAATGAAAAGACTAACACCACTGCTGAAGATACCACTTCACACGACAAGTTACAAGCTTATCTTGAAAGGGGAAATTATTGACATTTTGGATGATACGCCACTAACTTTGACAAGTCAAAGGTTTAGGACTGTATATCTTAATAGACTTGCCGAAGACCTCACAAATCGCTTACTAACCATCCAGTTAAATAGCAAATCTTCAAATAATAAAACTGCTGGAACAAATGTTTCGGTGTTCCATCAATATGCTGGTCAGATTATGGGTATACCTATACCTAAAACACTTGGTAACTTGAAAGAGCTTATTACAGACAGAGTCGGAGAATGCTTAGAGAAAATTAAAGTTTGCCATCGTAATGACCTCCAAATGGAAATTTGTTCTTCATTCTTAGATTCCAAAGCTTGTTTACGCACAGGTGATGAAGTGAGCATCAAAGATGAGATCTGCCAGTATTTACGTGACACTGGTAGAATTTCAGGTGAAAGAACACAAGTTGTTGCTAATATGATAATCGAACAGGTTAAAGACATAATACATGAAACGAGACACTCAGCTGCGACCAGTTTTGATTCAGTGATACCAGAGTTATCAAGTTCAGTTT